CCCGCCGCGCCCCGCCCGCGCGCAAGCGCCGCCGCCGCCGCGGGGAGCGCGGTGCCCGCCCGTCCGGACCGCACGGGCGGTGTGAGCCTCCCTGGCTGGCCGCCCCCGCTCCCGCCACTCACGCCTGAACAGTCCGTACTTCTATGAGATGCACAAGTACCTAATTGGAGGCGGGGGAGAGCAAGAGCATGGAAGCAGGCTTTTCTCAGTGGTTCGGGAGCAGTAAGAAAAGGGGTAATGGGCACAAACTGATGGACAGGAAGTTCCACCTGAACATGAGGAAGAATTTCTTTGCTGTGCGGGCGACCAAGCACTGGCACAGATTGTTCAGAAAGGTTGTGGAGTTTCACTCACTGGAGGTACTTAAGAACCCTCTGGACACCATCCTGTGCAGTGCGCTCTAGGATGACCCTGCTCGAGCAGGGAGGTTGGACCAGATAACCCACTGCTGTCCCTTCCAACCTGACCGATTCTGTGATTCTGCAATATGTTCGTGGGGCGTTTCCTCCCAGTCCAACCTTTAGACACAGTTTGTTGTGGCAGGTAAGTACCTGAACCCAAAGAATGCTACTGCCCAGGGCACCAGGTACCACAGAAGCAAGTAAGAACATTCATAGTGATTCATTAGTCAAAGACTTTGTATGTCTCCTCACACGCACTCCCCACCACTTTCCCCTGAAAATCGTTGCAAAAGAAAAGTAATACCTCATACGCTTCACTAAACATTTTATGGTAAATTAACCTCCATGTGGCTAGCACCTGGTTTTGAACCATGCATTAGTATCACTGATGACTTCTAGAAGTGGGTAATTTAATCTCCCTGACACTTGTTAAACTGGAACAACAGGAATTTCTTTTCTCATTAAGTTCCTCAAATGAAGAAACTACTAAGAATCTGTGGCCAAATCTTTATATTGAGTTTACAAATCTGACATGGGAAAAGCAACCCTTTAATAAAAGGTTGGCAAACAGAAATCAAGTTCAAATCCCACTTACACCCATTATAAAGGCACAATCCCTACTGGAATGGTGCAAAGTTAATTTCCCAATAACATTGTGTATCCATGGAGTTACCCATTCTAATTCTTGTTCAGTAAAAAGCAGATTTCAGATCCTTTAAATTTACACTTTTATTCATCTTCCCTTTCAAAGTACAGGTACCTGGCTACAGCTTTTGCAACTCCTGTCCTACAAACATCATTCAATCTACTCACAAAGGCAAAAGTAAAGATAGCCACGACTTTTCTACTGTCTAGGAGGTAGCTGTGCATTTTGTGTGACAGTTTGCAACTCTTCCATACTCTTCCAACTCTGATTCGCCTGAAGGGTGGTTTGTAGTTACTGTTTGTTAGTCCTTTAACTTGGGTTACAATGTTAGAAAGGTGAATTCTGCTTATCATCCATGCAACAGTACACAGATGATCTGCACAGCATGCATACACATCCATACCTTATGGACACAGAACAAAGCTGCTTTACTGGCAAGTCAGCAGAAACCAATGCAAGTGAGGAGCAGCAAACTAATTTTGTTGAGGTATGACAGATGGGAGATCCTGGTCCTCCTACGTCCTATTTATGCATAACTGCTTATATACATTGTAAGTCCTCAACCCACCATATTAACAAAATGGACAGTCAGATGTCCATTTGTTCAGTTACTCACATGGTCTTTCTCCAGCAAATAGAACTTGCAAACCCATGGGCTATAATCACAAAACGTAAGTGTATCAGGAAGCACCTTCCTCCCTCTCTCTTACAAGTTCCTCCAGGTATCTAGCAAGAATGAAAAGAGCACATTATCAGAACGCAGAACTTTGCCGGTGCATTGGCAACAGGTAGGAACAGTGTCACTTCTTCCATAACACTGATCACATTGGGAAATGGGTAAGAGAATACATAAAGCAGAATTCAGTACAGCTACAAGTTGTCTGTGAATTCTATTAATGGAATAATTTTAAATGCATAACTCTGTCTAAAGCAAAGCAGAAGACATGGAAGTACTCAAGTATGACTCAGGCAAAGACAAAAATAGTATCGAGCAGGCTCTGGCAAGTAAAGGACAAATAAAGGGGTGAAGATAAAAATCTCTCAAATATTTTGAAGTCAGAGTCAGTTTATTTAAGTTAGTTATGAAAATAATGTTTTAAAACAGCTTTGTATGTGTCCTGGCACATGACAAAAATAAATCAGTTAAAAATATGAGAATTTTCTACTGAAAAGAGAGGACCCAGCAGTAGCTCCATTAATTTAAGGCTGGCAAAAAGTGTGATCTCATTTAAGAAAAAATGAATGATAGTAATGGGCCTAATTAAAATATGTATCAGTTACTGAAATCTATTAACTTTTTTCACTCAATGTAAACAAAAAATGCAGAACATAATTTAAGTGCTGCATTCATCTTGATTATTTCCCCCAAAAGACTGTTCTATGCAGAACTCCTATTTTTACTAGCTAAACATTTGTTTATGGAAGTTAAAGGTCATTGAACGATTGAACCTAGAATAGTTTTTTTTGGCAGGTAAACTGGTTTCAAGTTTAGGATTTATTTCTAAGGAGAACAACTTTACCTTTAGAAAACCTGACTCTGATGTACAAATGGAGTAGCAGGCCATTGCTGATCTTATTTACATAACAATTCTTATCAATTCAGACGCATTTTACTTATATGAGACAGCAGGGATATGCCCTAGCTTTATTTGTTTTCAAACACAATACTACGTGCAAATGTGAATTGTTTATCCATTGAATTTTTTATAAAAAGTTAATATAATGATTATTCTTTTGTTTTCACAAAAATTTTAACACTTCAAGTAGAATCTTTAACAAGCATACAAAACTATTCAAAACAATTTGCATTTAATTTAACCAGAACAAATAATAAATTTGAAAATAAGGTTATGGCTAATTATAGAGCCGTCAAGTAAAACCTTGATGGGGAGCCAGGCATGCATGTCTGAAAATTGCAGCAACAGTAATACTGCATTGTGGAGCAGAATGGGTTCTACCAAAATTAAGTCTCTAGGTTTGACCAAGTGACCCACGTAGCAGATGAGAGAAAGGCTGTGGACATTGTCTACCTGAACTTCAACAAAGCCTTTGATACTCTCTCTCCCACAGCTTCTTCCTGGAGAAATTGCTGCTCATGACTTAGACAGGTGCAGTTTGCTGGGTTAAAAACTGGATGGATGACTGGGCTGAGGGTGTTGGTGAATGGAGTTATCTGGCTGACAGTCAGTCACTACTGCAGTTTGCTGAGGCTCACTGCTGGGGCTGGTCCTGTTTAATGTCTTTATCAATTATTTGGAATACCACCCCAATTTGCAGACGATACTAAGTTGGGTGGGAGTGTTGATCTGCTGGAGGGCAGGAAGGCTCTGCAGAGGGATCTGGACAGGCTGGATCAATGAGCTGAGGCCAGTGGTATGAGGTTCAGTAAGGTCAGCTGCTGAGTCCTGCCCTTGGGTCACAATAACCCCATTCACTGCTACAGGCTTGGGGCAGAAAGACTGGAAAACTGTTCAGCTGAAAAAGACCTAGGGGTCTACAGCAGATCCTGACCTGGGACATTGAGGAGTGTGGAGTGTGTCCAAAGAAGGGCAATGGAGCTGATGAAGGGTCTGGAGCACAAGTCTTATGAGGAGTAGCTGAGGGAGCTGGAGGTGTTTAGCCTGGAGAAAAACAAAAAAAAGGATGTTCAGGAGTGACCTTATCCCTCTCTTAAAACTACCTTAGAGTGTAGCACACAAGGGTCAGCCTCTTCTCCCAGGCAACTAGCAACTGGAGAAGAACACATAGCCTCAAGATGGGCTAGGGCAGGTTCAGGTTGGACATGAGAAAGAATTTTGTCACTGAAAGAGTGGTTAAGCATTGAAACAAGCCAACCAGGCAGGTGGTGGTGCCACCATCCCAGGAAGTGTTCAGTAAACAACTAGACATGCAACCTGAGGCTATGGTTTAGTTGGCACGGTGGTGATTAGTCAAAGGTTGGACTTACAGGTCTTTTTCAACTTTAATAACTCTATGATTTGTAGGAAATTCAGTCTTAGGAATATATCTTTTAATGGGACAATCCATGGACTAAGAGAAGGTAACAAATATATACCAATCTACACACAGTGTGGAAAGGCAAGGACATCAAAAGTGTCATAAGCTAAAAAAAGAAGATTATAAGTTTACATAAATCATGTTCTGTTCATTTAGTATTGTTGGCAAGGCAATACAAGCAACAAATTGAGTCACAGATTACTAACATTTATGCAGAGACACAAGTTTTCAGACAAAGATAGGCTCCTCAGTCCTGCATTTTTACAGGCTACTAAAAAAAGTATTTACTATTAAGTAAGCTGTACAGCACGACTTCCAGGATCAGACTATACAATTAAAATAATCACAAAAAAATTAAAATATAATGGTTAGCCCCTCTGGAAGCAGGAAAGGGTTGTAAAGCATTAAAATAGACCGCCCAAGAAAGTAGTGGAGTCACCCCCTCTGGAAGTGTTCAAAAAAGTGTGTGGATATGTCACTTGAGGAGGTGATATAATGGTGAATATGGTGGTGGTGCTGAGTTGGTGGCTGGATTCAAAGGACTTTTCCAACCTTAAAATTTCTCTGATTCTATGATAAGAGGAAGAAAAATAAGAAAAAGCTCTTCAAAATAATTTAGTGGGTAGCAACATATAAGCATCTCTAGATTGTATCCTGTTCCCTGTAATTATCAACCAGATAATCATTTTTTCATATTAAAACTTAA